GCTACAGTCCAGAACATAGGCAGAAGCACTCGCTACCTCCATGCAGGGACAAGAGTCCTGGGGTGGGGGGAGGACATGGTAAGAAAGAGCAGAGGACAGAGGACTCGGTAGCCACCCTCCCGCCCCGCCACCACTGGGAGCACAAGAAACAATGGACAGTGAGGTCCAGGAAGATGAGAAAGGGACAGTGGGGTGTCTCCGGGTGTCACATCGGTCTTCTCAAAACTTGGGTCTCACTTTCCTTCTCCCTCCTTCTGGAGTCCCTCCCTAGACTTGGCTGTTTCACTGCTCATTGACCAAGAAGCACTCAGCGCTCATTATAGGAAAATTCTATTACTAGACCTTTAGTGCTTCAGTGTTAGGTGCTATCTATATAAATCTAATTAATTAATTAGATAATTAATAGCATCTTCCAGCTTCCTTCTAACCAGTATACACAGGATTCCTGGGAAGGAAATGCTTCCAGTTCCATCCAGAGCTTTGCATGTCCCTGATTTACAGGGAAGGCTGCACGTTTCCCGGGGAGGAGCGATGCATTCTTGGGATTGCTGAACTCTGCAGGCCGCCTCCCTGGGCCCTGCTCCACTCTGCAGTCTGCACTACGGGCAGGGTGCTGTTTTCCCACACTGCCTGCCGCAGGGAGGCTAAGTCCTGTGCTGGAGGGCAGCATGGGAACGCACCTCATGGACGCACCTCAGCTGTGCTCACCGACACAGGGAAGCTTTGCCCGGCACCTGGCTCTCCCAGGTGGCTCAGAAATCTTGGCGACGGGAGGTGGCAGGGAATAGCGAAACCCCGCATTGCACCACCTTCAAACCCCACACCCACACAGTGGGACAGCACAAAAGCTAAGATGACGAGCTTTGCAGGAAGATAACCGTGGGCTTAAGTTCCAGTTCCAACATCTGCTGTGCAATCTTGGACAGATCGCGTACCCTCTCAGCATCTCGCTGCCGGGCAGGGCAGTTGAAAGGATCTAAGAGCACAGCACCAGGTCAGTTAACAGATCTGGGGGACACACAAAACAGAAACAGAACAGAGAAAGCCCAGATCTCTTCCTTCACACACTCAGACACGTCTTCTGTCTCAGGCTCATTCACACCACAGACACGCACTGAGGCCCGACCGCATGTCCAGCACGGTCCCAGGCACTAGGGATACCCCATGAGCACACCAGCACCGGCGGTACTGTCACTTTGGGGGAGAGGAGGTCAGATCAAGAATAAAAATAAAAAGAGGAAATACATCGTGAGGCCAATGGCGGCAAGTGCTCCACAGAAACCTAAGAAAAAAGAAGAAAGGAGGTCTGGCGGAACGGAAGGGGTGTGGTTTTAAATAGCGTGTTCAGGGAAGACCTTGCCGAGAAAGTGACACCAAATCAAGGCCAGAAGGAGGAGCTGGAAGAACATTCTAGACCAAGGGATGGGGCTCCTCATTCTAAGACTCTGAATTCACCTGGTGGGGTGGGGAGTGTGGAGCTCCCCAGGGCCCCCAAATGGTATTATTACAGTGCTGAGCACACAGCAAGTGCCAAATAGAGACGTCCTGAAGGGTGATTTTTCAAACTGCCATTTCCAGAAGGTCCCAGTTGCTGATAATACAATATGGGCTGTTTAAACATTCAACACTCAACCCTGTCACGGGGCCGCCACCGCCCCTGAGGCCCCCAACCCTGGGAACCTCCTTGTAGCACACCTCATTATGAAACAGGTGAGCGGGGCTCCCGGGACCTTCTCTGTAATTAGGACAGTATCTGGGCAAGGGCTATATTTATAACCCCCAGCCATCAGCAAGCCACCGAGACAAGGCGGGTCCCTGTGCAGCTCCCTACACCAACATCTATATGTGAACTGATTACCACAATTAATTTAATAGGGATTCCTCCACACAAACAATGTATCATTTTATTAGGAAACTCTATAAATGTCAGTGGTGCAATTCATTTTTATTAATTTTCCAAAATGAAATTAGCAGTGGCGGTGGCACACAGAAGTCGCATTGCCTCCTCATTCAGTGGAGTATTGGTGTCATTAATTCCTTAGTACCAGGAGGCCAGTTTGTATGAACTCAGCAGTTAACTGCACCAATTAATTTCAATACCAGGGACGGGAGGGGGGCACCCAAACTCAACTCAACAACTAATTTAGGAAGGTCCTTGAACAACCACAGCAACTTTTCCCTCCTCCTGGGACGAGAAGCCTTCAAGTGTAAACACGGAGTGGGTATTATAATACTAATAGGAAACGTTCTGTCTTTACCCTCTGCCTTGAGGAAAGAAATTCGTCTTCCCGAAGCCTGGAGAGACTCTGGCACATGTCTCTGAAGTTGCAGCCTCCTGCGGGCCCAGGGACCGCCCCTTGCAGACAAGAGGAGTGGGGACGTCCGCGGGCAACCACACTGAGCCTCCCAGTCTCACTTGAGCCTCATGATGGCCCAGTGAGGACAGGGGCATCGAGTCCATCTCATACATGGAGAAGAACAGAGTGGCCTTTAATGAGGCTCTAAAATGACTTTCTACAAGTCCCAGAGTGATCAAGGGACAGGGCTAGGCCTCAAAGCCCGGTTAGTCAATATCCAACTCTCCCCATTCCCACTCAGCTGCTCGCATGCCCCTTGTGCCTCGGGATGGGAAGTCTCCTGGCTCTATTTTTACTCCAAAAAGTCAAGTGAATCAGGCATGACCGTTAGTGACATTCACTTCTCAACTGAAACCCAAACTCTGAAGGCTGAAACACGAGGCAAAATCCCTGCTTGAAATGTTTTACCGATCTGCAATCGGGGGGTGTCCTAAAACACAGCACGTGTCTGCGTATCTGAAATTGGATGTCTGGCCCGGGATGCGTTCCGGAGAATCTCACTCTCTAGCTAGAGGAAGCTCTTAGATTCAAGGAGGGTTCTGCTGAGGAGTGAGGGGCGCACAGATGCTGCAGGCTGCTTGAGATGAAGGCACTGCTGGGAGTCAGGAAATAGTGCAGAGACAGAAATCCGACAGACTCCCTTCCCCCACCCCACCCAGAAACCACGGCAGCAGTTCTCAAAGTGAGGCCCCAGACTGGCCGTGTGCTGGCTCCTGGGAACTTGTTGGGAAAAATGGGTGCCCAGGCCCCACACCAGGACCAGTGAATCGGAGACTCTGGGGAGTGGGGCCCCAGCGTGTGCATTTCAGCAAGCCCTCCAGCGGATCCTGGTGCCTGCTCCAGTCTGGGAATGTCCGCCCTGGAAGAAGATGTCCCCAGAAGAAAGAAGAGCCGAGTGTGTCAGGCTTTCCACAGCTGGGGACACGGCTGTGTTCCCCAAATAGCTGACGCATCACCATTCACTCAATCACTCCGCCCCCACCCACACTCCGCGGAAGAAAGTCATTCCGGGCCCTGCTCTTACTGGGCTTGGCCACAGGAATGGCTTCGGCTAATGGATTTACGAGCAGGTGAGACCTAGGATGCCACATCCCACAGGACCCTCGTTATGCCTACGCGGGTTGCCTTAGGCTTTTAAGCCCCTGCCATGCTCCATGACCATACGTCCCAGGCTATGGATGTCCTCAGCCCAGGTCCCAGAACAAAAAGACCCATGGAGCAGTCCTAAACCCAACCAAAGCCACAGCAAACCCACAGATCGTGAGCAAGGGGGAAAGAAGTCTGCTGTTCTGAGTCACTGCATTCGGAGCTTGTTTCTTAGAAAGCATGACTGCAGCAGAGCTGGCTAATGCGGACCGCCTTGTTTTAGAGCAAAGGAATTCATGGCCCCAGAAGACTGAGGCGTTGAGAACATCCTGCCGAGGGACACGGGCTGGAGGGGAAAAAGAATCAGTGCCAACCCCTAGCCCCACCCCTGGCCCACCCCCTCGCCCCACCTCTGGCCCCACCCCTGGCCCCACCTGTGGAGATGGGAATCTCAGAACTAACTTCCTCCTCAATATCCTCCGACCTCTTCCAAAATGGACCTTTCTGTCCTCATCAAAATGATGCCAACCAGTAAAAACTGAAGCCTAATAAAGTTGTGCAAAGTACCGTCCAGAACGAGTAAACAGTCTAGAGGCTAAGCCCCTCTTTCCTCCATGGCTCAGAAAGGCTAGCGGTCGAGGACCTGGCCAAGGGGGCAGAGGACACACAGCCCCGCCCCTTCCCCGGGTCTCCGTTAACCTACCTGGAGAACTGGGCGCTTGCGCCCTGAGACCGAGCTTCTGCCTCTGAAGTCACACCCACCGCCCCATTGCCGTCGGAGCCGCGCTCTGGCTGACACGCGTCACACCAACGAGTGCCTGGCCCTGTCACCACTAACGGAAAGGGGGTGGCAATTGCTGGCCATGGATTTCCAAGGCTCTAAAGTGTAACATACCAACAATGATACCGGAGGGCAGGGGAGGAAAGAAGAGGCTGCCCTTTAAACACACCCTAAGCCCCAACCTAACGGTGGTTTACACAGCAGCGTCAACCCCCCAGCAGGACACAAGCCGACCTCGTCGTCCCTGATCCCTCATGCCCCGAGCAGTGGCAGTCGGAGGTTCAAGCTCATTCACTGTACAATAAACCGTAATCGGAGCCCCTGCTTCCAACTTGGAAGATCTCACCACCACCCAAATTAACTCGACCTTCAGTTGGAAAGCACGTTGGGATGAACGCGCACAGTTAAGGTAGTTTCCCATATAAGGAGTGGGCTTCTAGAGAACACTGGGGGCAGGTGGGGACATTCCCAAAATAAACCTCCCCCTGATGTTCCCACCTGCCAAGGCTTTCAAAGCCACCGGTTGGGGGCCCAGTGTTAAGCCATCCCGTTAAAAGTCCCAACTCAGGTGACGGCAGCCGCACTGTTTTTAAGCTGTCTGATTGTGTTCACGGCCATGGCCGTAGGTCTGCTCATGAGACCTCAGTGTTGCGCACTATCAAAGGCATCATGGCACACTCAACTTGCCCATGAATTGACTTGCCAAACCAGGTAGTCAATGAAAATCAATCCATTTACCGTACATTGCTGAAAAGCTGCGAGATCTGGGACATTACCTTGTCTTAGGGGAGGTGGTTAGCCATTCTTCGTGCTTCTCAAATGTTATTAAATAAGCTGCAATTTCCTGAAACAGAAGAATAAAACAATAATAACAACAATTAGCTCACATCGGCTCCCGAGGGGTAAGAAAGCTCTTATTCCTTCCCAGCTCTCGCCTCCCTGGCAGGGCTGGACCCCCATCTCTGCTGGAAAATGCTTGACTTGGAGGGTGCTTCTATTTTGAATTTGTTAAGCCCTTTCCGTTCAGCCCACCATACAATAATAATCAACACACTGGATTTCAGAAGATGAGTCGGTCGCAAGGACAAAGCTATTTCTCTGTGGGAGGAAAACATCAGACACCATTTCAGATATTAAATGTCATTAATTTGAAGGAGGGACAAACACGTGCCAACAACAGGTCCGCACTCATGCGAGGTCGGCATCGGGATGTTTCGTCTGTCTTCTTCTGAAGCCAGACTCATCTTTCACCACTGTCACGGGAGACGTCATGTTCCTGCCACCTGATTCCCACACCCCTGCACCAAATCACGCAAAGATTAAAAAGGAAAGATAAAGCCATGTTCCAGAGCGAGAGCGAGAGCGAGAGCGAGAGGTTAACCTTTCCCCCACTGATAACTTAATCTATTGAGTTGTGCTTCTGAAAGAAGAACCATGTCAGCAGAGTTTAAGGCAAAGATGGAGAAAATGTGGGCACCTGAAGGTAAATTAAATATTTATAAACACAACAACATCACTGCAGATAGAATTACTGATTTATTAATAATATCCATAAAAAGCCAGTGGGCGACATCAACATAAGTCATTGCTCCAGCTCTGGGGCATGATATGGCCCATTACTTCCAGCTCCAAACGGATCTGCTAACATGAAATTGGCAGGGATTGGGAGTTAAATTAAGGCCGGACTAGTACACGTTTCCCTTGATCTTGGTGATGATATGACACAGAGCTGCTGTCCCTGACTATCAAAACAAGCAGAGAGGGGCCTCTGTCTCAACTTCCTCCACAGCTGGGGTGCCCAGAGGGCTCGTGGTGATGCAGCAGCCCATTCACCCAGAGGCCCTAAGTCCCCCTCTGCTGTGAGCCTCCTCCAGGCCTGGACATAACGGGACTATGACCTGTGACCTGTGACCAGAGATGCTCAACCTGCCCTTGAAGCAAAGAGGAGCCTCTCAGTAAAACCAGGTCAGCAGAGGAGGTTAAGGCAGAAAACACCACCCACCCAATGTGGCCTGAAGACCACAGGCTCAGGCAGAGACCAGGGTCTCATATCATCACAGACACCAGCCACTACTCCCAGGTGGCCAGTGAGGTGACCCAGAGTCCATACCGCCTCATTCCAGAAGCCCACATCTTTCACCAAGAACCTGGCAAGTGGAAACCCGGGTCCCAAATGGACAGGTTCTTCTCACTGATGGCCACTAAAGAGATGGATCGACGGGCACCTGCTCTCTCTCAACTCTGGGCCTTTTCTGTTCCATACTGTTTCTTCTCCTTAGAAAACGCCTGCCCTGAGGCCTCACTGGAGACAGACAGCCGGCCCTCCTGACTATCCACGGCGGGGTCGGCTGCCCATCCTGCATGGTCTCTTGGCACCGCACCTTCCAGTCCCTGTGATTTGTCCCTTGGCGTCCTAATTGCTTGCTTCCTTGGATGGCAACCCCTACTGGATCACGAGCTCCTCGAGGGCAAGGAAGATGTCATCAGTGATGTATCCCCAGGACCTAACGGTGTCCTGACAGGTGTTGGTTAGGCAGATGGATGAGTGGGTGGGTGGGTGGGTAGAGGGGCAGGGAGGAGGAAGAGCAGGCGTGAGGGAAACAAATGGGCAGGTAGAAGTGAGCCCGTGTGGCCACGCGCCTGTGTTCTGCAGCTGTCGTGTGCTCGTGTAGGTTTGTTATTGGATGACGTCATAGCTCAAAATGCAGCGGCTCCTAAATAAACCCTGACCAGGGCTTCCATGACCTCCACGTGGGGCAGCAAGGTGACGTAATGTCACGGTTAAGAGCACAGGCTTCGGAAGCAAACGGACCTGGCCTGGGGCACTGGCTCTGCCACTTGTTAGTGGTCTGGTCTTGAGCCCATTGTTTACCCTGTAGAAACCTCGGTTTTCTATGAAATGGAGACAGGACCACCTCGTGGGGCTCTTACAAGGAGCAACAAGTCCTAATACTCTGGCTGGCCCGACCGGCACACAGCAATGGCCCCCCACACCCTCCCGCCAACCACAGCTAGTGCAGTGCTCATTATGGGGCCCTCATGGTGTGAGCTGCCGTCTGGAAGCCCCCGATGAGGGAGCAGGTACCAAAGGGGTGCGGCCCTGAAGCTGCCAGCCCTGCCAGGCTGACCTCCACCCATCCTCACCTTCCATCCCTCCCCATCCCCGCACCCCATGCCCGCAGGGAACAGTGACATCACAGTGACCGCTGAGAGCTAGCTAGAGTTTCCCTGGATCTATTGATGCCCATTTCGCTTCACAAAGCACGGACAGCCGGCAGTGGCTGGAGTCAGGGGGTGGGTAAATTGAGCCACTTATGTGTATCAGTCCATCTTCCTGATTTTCAGAAAACCTGGCATCCAGAAAAATAGTCTGTGCCAACCTGAACCCCTCAGATCCGTGTCCTTACCCGGGATTATGCCAAGAGCTAAGTGACACTTACTGGCCCAGAAAGATGGGGGCAGAGCACATCCCAGCCACCTCCAGACTTATCACCATGTTCTGAAGACCCGGACACCCAGAGAAGACCTTCATGAACACCCCTCGGCCAGCATTCGCCCCCAACCCAGCAGGACCCCCCATGCTACTGTCCTTCAAAGAAACAAAAGCCCTGGACCTTATTGCCTTCAATAGTTACTCTACAAATCCTTGTTGAGCTCATTGTATGCTAGTCAGTGAACAAGACCAGTCTGACCCCTGCTCTTAAAGAACCCATGGTCAAGCAGGTGATAGAGACAGCATGGTAGAGCAGTGTAAGCCCCATTCCAGGATTATCTGCCCAGTCGAGTCCGTAGACACACCCAACGGGACATGCTGGGCCTCCTGAGCTGTTGTACGAGCAAGCAAAGCCACAGGAGGTCACACTGATTTATGAACTAACCTTTGAGCACTGGCCACTGCTTCTCTACCCCAAGGTAACAATACCTCCACACAATGCCCGTTGATGGGGCACTCATCTCCTCTTAAGAGCAGCATTTCTGAGCAAAGGAAACTTACTGCCCAGACCTAGGCACTTGCCTCTGTGGTGTTCTAGTTGGTTGCCTGGCTTCCAACTGGACTGCGCATGTCTGAGTCACCTGTCCACCCCAGGCCCATGCTACCCAGTCCACACAGCCTGTTTCCCTGATGCAGGTCTTGGTCCACCTCATCATCGGCTGGGCAGACCATGGGCCAGACGCCCCCTTCCCAAAGCTAAGGAACATGTTGGGAAAATGGATATACGCACGGGCCAAAGAACCACATAGAATAATAGATGCTAAACAGTTTAGAGCAAAGTGAGGGTCACCAAAATCCAGAGGAAGGAGAGCCAGCCTGGCCAGGGAAGGGGACGGCTTTGGGGGGAACAGAGACCTCATCATCTGCATCATCATTACCATCATCACAATGGCTAACGTTAGTAGAATGACGTCTGAGCCCAGGTACCGATCTAAGACTTTAGGAGGGATCATCTCCCTTAATCCTCATACCGAACTTTGAAGCAGGAGCCATGCCTGTTTCACAGGAGGGAAAATTAAGACACAGAGCAGTTAGGTGGCTTGCCCAATGTCACATGGCTAATCTCTGTGGAACCAGAAGCCAAACCAACATGGAATGGTTCTAGAGCCTACACTCTCCACTATAGTACTGAATTTATGATGTGCTCAGAAGGAGAAAAGGAAACCAGTATGTGGAGAGTCATGCTTTCTCCAACACAGTTTAACAGCCTCCTGCTTCCCCACTGACCGAAAGGCACTTCACGGTCCCACCACCCTTCGGGGGACCAAGGGAAGCCAGGCTGAGCACCCGTCAGTGGGATTCCCTCTTTCCAGCAGGATCAAGTTCATTTTCACCCAGAAGCCCTTGTATGATTCATGGGACCATCTACACTTCAGGAACGGGGAAAATCCCTGATTTTCAGAAACCATTTACTTAAAATATCTTACAATGCAGAGAATAACAATAGGCAACAAGAGAGACAGTCAAGCTGAAGAAGGAAAGAGATTTAAGAAAAGAAAAGGAAGAAAAAGCTCTGAAGCCAAACGGTCTGGCCTTTCCCTCTTTCCCTCTTTCCCCAAAGCTTCACTGACCTGGGCTCCAAGGAAGGCAAATGGAGAGAGATCTGGTCTACCTCATTTTTACAGAGCAGGAAACTAAGGCACAGAGAAGGGAAGGGACTTACCCAAGGTCAGTATTCGTGGGCTGACCTGAGCTGGAAACCAGGGCTCCTGACTCAGTGCATGCATGATCTTATTGACTTTCAAACTCAAGTCTGGCCCAGGAAATGTATGGAACACTCAAACAAGAAGAGAGCTTGCCCCCAAAGAAGTGAAAACAGGAACTCAAACAAAATCATGTACGTGAACGTTCACAGAAGCATTATTCAAAACTGCCAAAAGGTAGAAGCATTCCAATGACCATGACAATGACCATGACAACATAGACGGGTACACGAGACGTGCCACAGTCCACACAGCAGAAGGCTGTTCAGCCACAAAAAGGAATGCAGTTCTGATACACGGATGAGCCTTGAAAACTTGCTGAGGGAAAGAAGCCAGAAAACAAGGCCACATGTTATAGGGTTCCATGGGTACGAAATGTCCAGAACAGGCAAATTCATAGAGATGGAAGGTAGATTGGTGGTTCTCCAGGGGCTGAGGGGAGGGGACAATGGGGAGTGACTGCTGATGGGTATGTGGTTGCCTTTTCAGGGGAGAAAATTGTCTGGAACTAAATCGTGGTGGAAGTTACCCCAAATTGCGAATGTACTAAGCACCACTAGTAATAAAAAAGAACAAGAAGAGAGGGTAGACATCCAGCTAGGTGTGGCACTAGGGTGCAGAAAATACCAGCCCCCCTGCCTACAAAGT